CTGAGTAAACACGTTACATTGATGTGCATAGTAACTAAATTTAGTGAGGACATTGGACATCAGTTTTTGTTTTTTTTTTTCACCACTGAAGTTCTCATCAATTGTTTCTGTCTGAATTTTGACATGATGGCAAATTTGAAATCTAAGCTTGAGTTTTGCAGGCTAAGGAACATTGTACATGACATCTTGATGCAGAACATTTTGGAATGAGTACACTGTAATTGCATTTTAAATTACATTTGGAATTAATTTTATTCTAGTCAGGAATTTTTATGAATTTTAGTAATTTTCAAAGTTACTCAACTCTGTTTTTTTTTTCCTGTGTACATAGGATAAGGTCTGGAAAGAATTGCTTTTGGCAGCCATTGGTGAACAATTTGTTGGCAGCGTAAGAGAAGGTATTAGTACTTCCTAAATTATGGTTGCATTTTTATTACTATATGTAAGTAAACACAACTTATTTTGGCCCTGGTAAGAATGAACTCTCTAAGAAATCGCAAGTTGACTTGTCTAATAATCAAACTGAATAGTATGTACATAGATTATTGACTGTTAATAAATTTACATTAAATAAATGGAAAATTGTCCACTAAAATCAACAACTGTTTAAATTACAGATGACGAGGTGTGTGGCATAAGTGTCAGTGTGCGTGACAGAGATGACATCATTCAAATCTGGAATTCAAATGCGAAGGCTGTTGAGGATGCAACAGTAAGAAATTTTCTATGATTAATTTTAATTGTTATTAATAACATTATTGCTTTAATTTAGAACTATGTGCTAAACAAATGTTAAGAAAATGTAACCTATGTAGTGCATGTATGTAAGCTGTAAGTACTTGACAATGATGCAGAAACCTTTAGGGAAAAAAGTTTGAATTTAAACTTACAGTGCTGTAGAGCTAATGTAGAGCTGACAACTGTTAATTTGTCCTTACAAGATAGGGTTCCGGAACAGAAGGGTGGGGTGCAAATTGAAAACATGAACATGTGCTCCCCTTGTCTCCTCCTCCCCTATGGATATCAGCCACTGCTTTCTTCTGTTAATCCCACATTCAAGTAAATCAAGAAATTCTTACCTTTATGCAACTGGAGCATCATACTTTACTTAACATGATTATGTACTTTACATAAGCACATAGTGCACGCAGAACATTTTACCTATATTGTACAATTGTATACTTTGCAATTTGCGAGTATGAAACACCTTAACACGCATAACATGTACAGGCCTACATGTATGTGCATCTTGGTGCTACAGCTGGAGATCTACATTGTTGCACAGTTCTGTATGCTGCAAGAACACCATGGCTTTCTTGTAATTTACATTTTGGAAAAACAAACAAACAAACCAACAAGAACAAAATAAAACAAAACAGAAGCAAACGTTGCAAATTAAATCAAAGGGAAGCAGCTGTACACGTATACATGTACATGTGCCTGCTTACTTAAATATGTCACATTTTTTGTCGTTTTTCTTTTTCAAACAGGTTTTAGACAAAGCGAGGGACCTGCTAAAAGATGTTGACTTGTTCGATGATTTCTACAAATGTGAGTTTCTGGTAATTAGCTAGGAACAAGCAGACTTTATTGCATGTCATTATCAAATGCATGACTTAATTCTATATTTCAATCATTTACATGGTCCTGAAGAGACCAAAATTCTTGTTACTAATAATTATTATATTTAGTTAATACCTCAAAGGTTGTCGTACTATAATTTAATATGGGCTGACTTCCAGCCTGCAACTTACAGTCTATGCGGAGAAGAATACAATTATATTTTTATTTATTAAGGGTACATGTACATGTAGTCTTCATTCCTTTTCCAGCCCAGCTTGGTTGTTAAAGGGCCAGTATTTCTTTCTTTCTTTCTTTCTTTCTTTCTTTCTTTCTTTCTTTCTTTCTTTCTTTCTTTCTGTCTGTCTG